ATGTTGGGATCAAGGGTAAACTGTTCAATCTAATTTCATCAATGTATTCAAGTCTGTGTGCTTGTGTAAGGGCTTCAACTGGACTAACTGATTATTTTGAATGTAAAAGTGGTCATATAATGGTGAAAGCATTGATGTTGTTCCATTTTACAGATATTTAGGAATTATGTTCACCCCCAAACTTGTATGGACCCAGGCTCAAACATGTTTAGCTGCTCAGAGTTCCAAACTGTGTTTGTCATAAATAGATATCAGAAGAAACTTTGTGATATTCCATGCAAAGATTTATTCAAAATTATTGATAGTCTTGTAACTCCTATCCTGTGCTATGGCTCTGAAATCTGGGATGTTAATTACAGCAAAATCATTGAGGATATTCAAGTTAAGGTGTGCAAATCAGTTCTTAAAGTGTCAAGAAATACATGTAATGTGATGGTGCTTGGTGAGTGTGGTAGAGCTCCTTTACAGCTTACATATATATGACAATAGCTGTGAAGTACTGGTGCAGGCTGATACAACTGAGCCCTGAGAGACTACCAAATATCAGTGTTACAAGATGCTAGCTGTTCTGGATGATTCAGGTCGCACCACCTGGACCACCTGGGCCCGGAGAGACTACCATATATCAGTGTTACAAGATGCTAGCTGTTCTGGATGATTCAGGTCGCACGACCTGGACCACCTGGGCCCGGAGAGACTACCATATATCAGTGTTACAAGATGCTAGCTGTTCTGGATGATTCAGGTCGCACCACCTGGACCACCTGGACCACCTTGGCCCAGAGAGACTACCATATATCAGTGTTACAAGATCCTAGCTGTTCTGGATGATTCAGGTCGGACCACCTGGACCACCTGGACCACCTGGGCCCGGAGAGACTACCATATATCAGTGTTACAAGATGCTAGCTGTTCTGGATGATTCAGGTCGCACCACCTGGACCACCTGGGCCCGGAGAGACTACCATATATCAGTGTTACAAGATGCTAGCTGTTCTGGATGATTCAGGTCGCACCACCTGGACCACCTGGACCACCTGGGCCTGGAGAGACTACCATATATCAGTGTTACAAGATGCTAGCTGTTCTGGATGATTCAGGTCGCACCACCTGGACCACCTGGACCACCTGGGCCCGGAGAGACTACCATATATCAGTGTTACAAGATCCTAGCTGTTCTGGATGATTCAGGTCGCACCACCTGGACCACCTGGACCACCTGGGCCCGGAGAGACTACCATATATCAGTGTTACAAGATGCTAGTTTGTTCTGGATGATTCAGGTCGCACCACCTGGACCACCTGGGCCACCTGGGCCCTGAGAGACTACCATATATCAGTGTTACAAGATGCTAGCTGTTCTGGATGATTCAGGTCGCACCACCTGGACCACCTGGGCCCGGAGAGACTACCATATATCAGTGTTACAAGATGCTAGTTTGTTCTGGATGATTCAGGTCGCACCACCTGGACCACCTGGACCACCTGGGCCCGGAGAGACTACCATAGATCAGTGTTACAAGATGCTAGCTGTTCTGGATGATTCAGGTCGCACCACCTGGGCCACCTGGACCACCTGGGCCCGGAGAGACTACTATAGATCAGTGTTACAAGATGCTAGCTGTTCTGGATGATTCAGGTCGCACCACCTGGACCACCTGGGCCCGGAGAGACTACCATATATCAGTGTTACAAGATGCTAGCTGTTCTGGATGATTCAGGTCGCACCACCTGGACCACCTGGGCCCGGAGAGACTACCATATATCAGTGTTACATGATGCTAGCTGTTCTGGATGATTCAGGTCGCACCACCTGGGCCACCTGGACCACCTGGGCCCGGAGAGACTACTATAGATCAGTGTTACAAGATGCTAGCTGTTCTGGATGATTCAGGTCGCACCACCTGGACCACCTGGGCCCGGAGAGACTACCATATATCAGTGTTACAAGATGCTAGCTGTTCTGGATGATTCAGGTCGCACCACCTGGACCACCTGGACCACCTGGGCCCGGAGAGACTACCATATATAAGTGTTACAAGATGCTAGCTGTTCTGGATGATTCAGGTCGCACCACCTGGACCACCTGGCCCACCTGGACCACCTGGGCCCGGAGAGACTACTATAGATCAGTGTTACAAGATGCTAGCTGTTCTGGATGATTCAGGTCGCACCACCTGGACCACCTGGGCCCGGAGAGACTATCATATATCAGTGTTACAAGATGCTAGCTGTTCTGGATGATTCAGGTCGCACCACCTGGGCCACACACATTAAAAATATTTTATTCAGATTTGGATTTGGATATGAATGGATAGCACAAGAAAGTGGGGATAAAATTGTTTTTGTTTCCATGTTTAAACAGAGACTTTTTGACAACTTGCAGCAAACCTGGAGTGTAAATGTGAACAGTTTATCTGACTCATTCCTATAAACATTTTAAATCACTACTAAATGTTGAATATTACTTAAATTCACCACTTCCATCTCACTTAAAAAGGATTTTAAGTAACTTCCCAAAAGCAGTAAATACTGGAAGATACCATGCCTAACCATATGAAGAAAGACTTATTATTAATTTTGTGAATCCTACAGCCCCGGTAATGCACTTTTAGATAAATATATTACCTCTAACCTTCAGCATAACTTTATCTCTATTATTTCCTCAGATGCATATGATACCTTATATAAAATATCTACTTTTCTTAACCAAAGCTCATCAACTTAGGGTAAATAGTAAATAATCCACTGCGAATTTATAAGAAAAAACAACAACATGTAAATAATGTAAATGTCATTTTGCGCAGGCTTTATGTATTCCTGCATATGTATGCATTTTGGGCCAGTGGCTTTTATTGAATAAATTGTCTGTGTGTCTGTCTGTCTGTCTGTCTGTCTGCCATACATTCAATGCAAAAAGTAGCCTGCCGTAATTTAAGAAAACTGATTTTTCTCTATGACGTCAAAAGACGACAGAGAGGTTACACACGTAAAAAGAAAAGGGGCATAACTCAGTTATGCTTAGCTTCAGTTTATTTAAACTCGGGTCACCTGGTGAGAATTAGCTGTGGGTAAGGACAGTATATTTTCGTGGTATTTTGTTCACGAGTAACCAAACTATTCCAACACAAATATCGATATTGAAACTGTATACTCCCTTATATTACCGTAAGAAATGATGAAACTTACTTAATAAAAAAAGAAGAAATAGCGAAATGAATGGCCCTATCTAAGCTGTAAATTAGTCCTTAGATCACAACATTCTTCTGACTGGTCAAGTGTAATTTGGCTTATGTTGCACCATTATTAATTGAGTACTAGCCTTGTGATCAAATGTAATGAAATACTAAAAACATGACACCGTTCTATTTGATGTCATGGCTGGTTTTATATCTTTGACAGCGTCGGAATAAGACGACACTGGTAGTTTGATTAATATATATTTACCTCCCCTAATCACTTTTTACAATTCTTGGAGAAATAAAGTAATTAGTTTAATATCCTGTGATCACAATTTTTAGAAAAAGATGAACATTTTGATTGTATAATACAAAACGAGAGGAATAATTCGTAAATCGTTTGGGACAACGCGCACCTGCGAATCGTTAGATATCACAGTTGTGTTTATCAAACGACCTCAAAAAACTATTCCAAGACCAAGACAATTCTCCTGGAAATGTGTGCGTATATTTTAACGCAAAATATCCATTTGGTTAAAGTAATAAATTCAGTTAAAGTTTTAAAATAAAATGAAACGGCTGTTCATGGAAGTTGTTTATATGAACTTATAATATTAACTTTGACACTCCCAAGAAATTTCTGTTGAAAAATATCAAATCATAGCAATGTATCTATTTTTAATTCCCTAATTCTTCCTATAATTCTCTTCCCATGCATATTCTGAACGAATAGACGAATGGATAGCTAAAAAAGGGGAAAATGCTACACTGTTAAATATGTATTTAGCTTTGTTTACATTTCAAACAAGTGCACTTTTTCGAGCACAGCGTTGTTTTCACACCTAACTTATTTTGCTTAATTTGATCTCGGCAATTTGTATTGGTGACAGAGACCATGTGTCATTTGATTCTAAAATGTATGAGGAATTCAAGGATGTATGTATCACAGCTGAGTTTGAAATACGCGTAATGTTACAGGCGTCTCATTACCGGTAGGCTACATGTGAAACGTGATTTTGTAATCACTATCTAATATGGCGGAAAGTTCACAGTATACAAAACTGTGACGAGTATCTGCGTGTCTGATCTATTTTGAATTTTATTCGACTTCAAAGTGAAGTTTGAAAGAGGAGGGAAATATATATCCCTCTGGCATCCTGCCCCTGGGTGAAAAACAACAAATAACCCAAACCCTATCTATAGCTCTGAATTCATCTGGGAACGCTGGTCAGTCGTAAGACGAGAGTGTAAAGAAGGTGTCACGCGCAGGGAAGTAGCTTGATTGAAATGGTGAAATGGGAGAGAGAAAATAAATATCTCGCCAATCAGAAATATTTCTTTTTAAATTTCAGCAGCAATAATATGCAACACATCTCCATTTGTTAATCTATATCGCCCACATGAGGCCTGTGCTGTACTTGCATATGTCGCGAAGCCAGCACTGTGTCGCCCTGAGAATTACCGATATCGTATTTAGCAGAGAAAACAGCCGGCAGCTTTAGTGTTTAGACCTAAGCCGGAATGCCGTGACGTCACTGTCATTGTACATTTGGCGCCACGTCAGCTGGGCGAACCTCGTCTCGGTCTGACGTCACCGAGTGCAGCGAGATGTAAACAAACAGGTTTTTTGTGTTTTTTCACGATTAATTACAAACTTATGGCGTAAAACTAACACAGAAACATATGACGACATGCATGAACATATCACGAGGTGCGGTGTTTACATACCAATCACACATCATCTCTATTTACACTCAGTTAACAATTTTCTTACCTGATGATGCGAAATTCCAAACACAACAAATGACAAAATGTCTGACAAAGTTTTTACAAGTTTTATTCATCTCCAAAAACAACAAACAGTTTCACGTAAATAAAGACATATGTACACACGACAACGTGAACGGCACAACACGTCAGTGTCAGGTCTCCCCCACCGTCTACACAAACACGACACTGACGTCACTGAGCGCCGCGGGACACGAGGAGATCCACCACCCGCGTATGTCCCCCGAGTCTCGCCACGTCGGCCGCCGTCTGCCCGTAGTTGTCCCTGGCGTCGATGTCCACCACGTGCAGAGACAGCACATACTTCACCGTCTCCAAGTGTCCTCCACTACAGGCCCAGTGAAGGGTGTTGCGACCGTACCTGTTCACCAGTGACACATCGGCCCCTTCACTCACCAGGAGCTCCACCACGTCTCTGTGTCCCCACCTTGCTGCCCACATCACCGGTGTCTGGCCCCATCCCCACCTACAGTTGACGTCCGCGCCCAGAGACAGGATCCGCTTCACCTCCTCCAGGTTCCCGGCAATGCTGGCGCCATGGAGGTCCTCGCAGTCTGCTGGTGATGGAGTCGCTGTAACACAAAGTAAACTCTGTACACTTCCAGACATCTTCGTCATACATCTACATGGTTCACACCTCAACGTGGTGACACGTGACACGGCACGTCATCAACCACTTCCAACATGGCTGACAACACAAGGATCAAGGGGAAGGACGACAGCTGGTTCATGTAATCAAGGATTATGTGGTCAATGTTTAAAATCTTTCTGTCACATCCAGTTGTTGTAACATTATTCTGTGTGTGGATGGCGAGTGTCAACGTTTGATGGACTGAGCTTTATGAGATGATACTGTCAGTACAGTTGCTGTTTGGAAATATTAGATAGATCTTATAAGACATGACATTGTAGGATGTCAGTCTGTGTGTTTGTTGTTTTACGCCGCACTCAGCAGTAGTCTAGCAATAAGATGGCGGAGTCTGGTACAGACAGACAGTCCAGAGGGTGACAACATGAGCACCGATCGACACAACTGGGATACGATGACATGCAAGACGCAAGTCAGAACCCTCACGGGTCTATACCCCAGCTTGTTAATTGTTGGGGGGATTAAAGTGTTGGCTTTCTGCCTGCTGGGTTCTCCCACCTACCCTGTGTAGCAGGTTTTTTTGAGGTCGTCACTGCTGTCCTCGCGGTCTGGCTCGGGTCGGTCGAGGCTGAAACACAGAACATGCTGTTCAGAAAACAATACAAACTAAATAAGCATTATACATATCAGATATTCGACAAAGTTTAGGTTTTTACTATTTTGACTGATGAATTCCAATTCAAAACCGTTCATCTTAGTAGAGGTATTATTATAAGGTAGTCTAGCGACTAATAAATCACTCAAACGCCTATCATAAATATACAACACAAAAATTGAGATTGCTGTTCATCTGAGCCGCGCGTCTGTACAGGCTTGTTGGATTGAGTCTTATGGTGGTACTGGCAATACAATTGACTTGTTTCAAATTATTAGAATAATAAGAGACTACATTTATCAGCTTGTTATTGTAGAGACTTCATATGAAGTTTTTTTTCAGGCTTCTATTTGTTACATGTTGATGTGACCTCATCTCGTACAAAGTTGGACAGTGACAGTATCTACCACCTGCTGGGTTCTCCCACCTACCATGGGTCGTTACTGTCGTCATCTGTGCAGCCCTTTCTCCGTGGCTCCGGTCGCTCGAGGCTGAAACACAAAATATGCTGTTCAGTTGGGTTGGGTGAGTTTGGTTTTACAGGTTCTTAGCAATATTCCAGCAATATCTGGGCGGGGAACACTAGACATGGGCTTCGCACATAGTACCCATGTGGGGGAATCGACCCCAGTTTTTCCGCGCGAAGGGCGAATGCTTTAACCACTAGGCTACCCACCACCCAAAACCCCCATATATGCTGTTCAGAAAACTATATATTGCAGGTAAACATTATAACTACTGGCCTCAGAGAAGCTTTTGCCTTTCAACAAATGTGTGACTTTCAAATTTATTCACTGATGAACTTAACTTATAATACATTTGTTGCAGTGGAGGCTTATTCATATATCATAACATGGTGACTGACAAATTTTGGAAATCACTTATATTTATTAGATTTAGATTGCTTTTATCACTTCTGAGATATATCTCTTCTCTTGGTTGAAGTTGCAGGAACTGAATAGATTGTTATTTTGTTGTCATAATAATATAATCCTACAACATACAACAAAAATGAACATTACTACATCAGCGATAGAAATTGGCACTCGTCCTATATTCCTTGCCAAACATCCCAATAGTTCAGATATCACAACGACTAGGCTAGTAGAAATATGTCATTCTTTAGGGTTTTATATGTTACCATTATGAGGACTAAGGACTAAACATGTTAGTTTATATTGCTGTACACAGAATACACAGAATATGTGCATTTATTATTTTGGAACTTTACAACATGGTATTACATCAGCTACATACCCTTAATTCTCAATTATGGAATGATTAGTATTTTAGTCTGACTTCGTTAGTTGTGGGTGGAATCGTTATGACAATGAAATGGTCCCCGCAAGTTGGTGCGTTGTTGCATAATATCTGCATTTGAGTATCAATACTGTGAATAGCAAACCTACTTCGCTCATACAGGTCAAATACTGAACATTGTTTTCTAATTTTCATTGCCTGCTATGTTATTACTACTGCATATTTAAATAATACTCAGGTCTTTGTTGCGAGTGAGAATCGATGCACACCCTTATATATATTTTGACCAGGATATGACGCCCACCAATATGTTTCTCGTGCATTTCAACGTCTGTGGACAATGGGCATTTTACACAATTGTTACATCGTCAAATCGACAACTGTCTTGATGGTTTCTCTGTGTACATATTGCCTTTGCCAATTGATGATAACAGGCTACTAAATGTAGAGTGCTGCGACCTATCGTAAATTATTTGTTGTCCCGAGTGACTTTGCTTGATGTTTTAGTCCCTACCCTCCCCAATACAAACACTCTCTTAACTAGACTCTGAAACTGGTGCATTTTACGTCGTTTGGTGTCTCGGGCTACACAGTATTACAAACGTCGATATACGACATGCTACAGATTAATATTTCAGTGATGACATTTTCTTGATGATATACAATCAATGTAAAATAGCAACAGGTCTACTTGACTACGCGCGTGTGCAACAGAGTAGTAATTCAGTGTCAGGAAAACCATTTGCAACACTGTCATAATGGGAGACACCGCCCCAATTTGCTCGCTAGGTGGCGCAAATGTACTAGTGGTTATAAGTCACAACCGGAAGTCAGCTTTCAAAGTGGCTCGTATCGAAGATTCACTCGACCGTTATCAGCTATGCCAAGATACTGCTCTGTTCCGGGTTGTAAAAATAAGATTGGAGGACATAAATACCCTTCAGACCCCGACCTGCAACAAAAGTGGCGCGTGGCGGTAAGAAGAGTTGATGTTCCAACAAAGAATCTGTGGAAGCCAGGGACAGGCGACGTAGTCTGTAGAGCTCACTTCACTGATGATGATTTCGTGGATACACTATTAGGTTCGTAAAAACAGTATTATTTTGTCTGTTGAGAATGATAAATAATTATTTGTGCATGGTTTTCTTACTGTTTTTTTGTATGTTGGCAAAGAAAAGCGCAAAAGGAGAATATATTAGCCTATAACAAATATCGAATAGCCAATATCCTCATGATACTGGTAACTGGGCCCTGTTTATCAGCTGTTCATTCACAGACCCAAACATTAATGAATAGGCCTAAACATTTGATTGTATATTTATTTATGTATGTTATTATGGAAACAATCTTTCTTTTATTAACTATAACACCGAAGTAAATTTATTCATAGACAAAAATATACATGTCAAAATGTGATTTATTAATATTGAATAGCCAATATCCTCATGCTACTGTTCAACAGCTGTTCATTCACAGACCCATTTACCTTAGTAAATATGATTAAGTTTCTGCTTGCATAAAATAATGTAAAGATATTTCTATAATCAGAGCTCCAGATAACTTTTTTTGAGTAAATGAGTTTTAACTCTAGGGTTTCTATTTTAAATGGGTTATAAGTATAACATTTTTCATAGGGTAACCAATATTATTTCAATCATCCATTCATGACTCTATTCGGATTTTCCCAAAATTAGTAAACATTTATCATTAGATGTATATAACTGTACTTAATATATAGGCTTGACTCAGATAGTAAATTAGCTCATAATTGTGTTTCGGAAATTAGCCCTGTTTTACGATTGCTGAAAAAGCTACATTGGGTATTAACACGTGCTGTTTTCAAACATTTGAGTTTTTCCTTAAATGCATGCGTTTTTGTACACAAGATAATCAGTGTGTAATTGGGTTTTTAATATTTTACACAAATGTGCAGCTTATCTGTAGCTCTGTATAGCGTACACACACATTTTGATAATGAATATCATAAAAAACAACCATGAATGTGTCTTCAACTTGTGTATTGTTGATTTATGCCATGTTTGCAAGTGAATTTAGATATTATTATTTTGGTTGATTCCTTGTTAATGTTTGTTCTTGTTGCTTTGTGTTAAATTCCTGTTTTTAAGGAGCCATACAAACGATGACAAGCCTGAAGCTTCCGACAGAAGAATTACTCAACGAGGCCTGGGAAACTCAGTTTTGTACAATTTTCTATTATTGGTAAACTCTATAAGTAAATCACTAGAGGAATTTGAGGTCGTTCGACATGTAACATTACTTCATTGTTGTTATATTTTCACCTGCATTTTCATATAATTAATAAGACTTATAAAAAATTAAAAGCTACTTGCTTATCTTCTTAATTCTTAAGAGGAAAATCACCTCAATATGCATTTGTTTTCATTTCAATAAATTGAAACCTTTCATTTTTCTGTAACTTACGTTAAGTGTATTTAACATAAGGTGAACGAAGTCGTCTCCGGGCAGCTGCGGTTCCCTCCATCTTCCCACATACATCATGCACCAGTACATCAGCACTACCAACTCGACCAAAGAGGGCACATCAACTCCGTGAAGAAGAAGCCAACATAGCTATATTGAATGTGTCGTCGGAGGTGGAAATCGGCATTGGAGAGGATTGTGCTATCACAAGCCCAAGTAGCTTGAATGAGCCTCTTGAAACATGTCAAAGTGACTCTCAGTCTACTCAGTGCAGTTTGTTAGGAAGTTGTTCCATAGAAACCTACATAAATAATCCCAAAGCTGTTTTGTACTTTGCTGGTTTCCAAGATTATGACCATTTCATGTTTTTCTTTCACTCGCTTGGTCCAGCAGTTTTTGAACTGAACTATCAATGTGAACTCTTGCACCCAAAAGACCAACTGTTTTTGACTCTAATGAAATTAAGACAGGCCAAGGATGACATTGAATTAAGTTTCTTGTTTGGCATATCATCATCCACTGTTTCCCAAATTGTAATAACATGGATCAATTTCTTATATTTCCAACTGAAGGAACTACAGATATGGCCATCAAGAGCAACTGTTGATGATCACATGCCAACAGATTTCGGTAAGAAGTTTAAAAACACTAGAGTCATTTTGGATGCAACAGAGATACCAATAAAGAAGCCATCTCATGTTGATGCTCAGAGCATGACATGGTCCAGCTATAAACATCAAAACACATTGAAAACCATGATCGGTTGCACACCCAGGGGGGCAGTCTCATTTATTAGTGAATCTTTTGGGGGGTCTGCAAGTGACAGACAGATCATAGAACAGTCTCCTTTACTTAACCCATCACATGGTATGTTTGAAAAACAGGATAGCATTATGGCTGACAGGGGCATTATGGTTCAAGACTTATTTGCAGCCCAAGATGTTCAAGTAAACACCCCAACTATGTTAAAAGGCAAGTCACAGTTAGAACCAGAAGATGTTGTTAAGGATAGAAGAATTGCTTCTAAAAGAATCCATGTTGAACGTATAATTGGTCTGAGTAAAACTTTCAAAATTCTGAAAAAACATCTCCCACCAAGTAAAGTAGTACTTGGATCGCGGATTGTTTATGTTTGTTTTGCTATTTCAAATTTCAGAAATTCCATTGTAAATGAATTTGCTTGAAGCATCTCTTCTTTGTGATATCTGTGACTGAAATTTGTAGTAGTAGTAGAATTTTATTCAGTAGTGTGAGTGATTGAGAATTGTTTTACACCTCTTTTAGCAATATCATGGCGGAGGACCCCAGAAATGAGCTTCACCAATGTTACCCGTGTCGGGAATTGAACCCGGGTCTTCGGCGTGACAAGCAAACACTTTAGCCATAAGGCCACCCCACTGCCTTATACAGTAGTAATATAATCGGTATGGTCACATGGCCTATAGTACAGTTTTTCGTAATAATAAGTGGTCATGTGAGAGCTCGTAATTTGAAAACATGTTTCATATACAGAGCAACAGATTTAAGGAGATGTACAGTTCTTGTATTTAGCTAATTGACCATTGAATGAGTGTTGTTAAAGCTATGAAAAGGTAATTTTATTCACAGAGTAACTTGGGCATATGAACCTAATATGATACTCATCTTCAACAAAATCTAAATGACAGTAGACCCGGGAAGATTCCGGGGTAGGATCGGTCTTCAGCAACCCATACTGCCGTAAAAGGCGACTGACGGGATCGGGTGGTCAGGCTCGCTCACTTGGTTGATGCATGTCATCTATCCCAATTGCGTGGATTGATGCTCATGATGTCAATCACTGGATTGTCTGATCCAGACTCGATGATTTACAGACCGCTGTCATATAGCTGGAATATTGCTGATTGCGGCGTAAAACAACAAACCAACCAACCAACTAAATGACAATATGTATATAAAGTATTAAAGTTACCTACATTTTCACATTTATGGAGCTGAACTGAATTCATTAAGGCTTTAAAATGTGACTTGTGGTGTTGAAAATTCAATTTGTAAGGTAAAGTCTAACAATACCTAATATGATGTACATAATCAATACTATTGACATTCACTTGTGTGATATATATAGTCCTACATTGTCTGAAAATTACTTCATTATTTGCACCAACATTTTTCAAAGGTTGAATCATTTCAATCAAACATATGTCATTTGTAGTCAAAGAGACCGTTTTTAACAGCGATGGGCTCACAATATTTCAGTTATTTGAGGCTTATCCCACTGAAAACATTCATACAAGGCTAACCTTACATTTGTAATGGCTTCTGGCTTTCAACTGAGTGTGAAAATCTCCCCACGACCCAAAAAGTGTATGGAGTGTAACTTGTGACACACGCATGTCATATTAAAATGTGAATCTCTCATGTGTCAAAGAAATTGCTTCTTTTCATTAGTTATTTATGCATATGGTAAGCTTTGAAATGAAAGATAAAGGTGACATGCTGTCATTTTGTTTGGTGGTATTACCATATTTAGTCAAACAATTGATTGGCAAACCAAAACCACAATATTTTAACTTTGCCAATGACTTGTAATAGTCTCAAACCACAGCAGTTTATTATTTCTAACTCTGTGTACTGTAGTTACCCCTGAGCACAATGTACCGCTCCACTGATGCTCTTACAATGTGTATGTACCTTGTGGTAACAGGTTGTAAACCTGTTCAGTGAAATCTAGAGGAAACCCAAAATCTTTCTCTTGAGTGTCTGAATAAACATGTGTGTATATATGAAACATTAGTTGAGTACTGTGTATATTCTTCAAATGGAATCTTCATGAATCTTCAACTTCACACTAAACTGTCTTAATGGTAGCTAAATCATATTGGACATGTGTATGATTTACAATTCAAATTGCTTATTCATTGCAAATATAGATCAAGGCACAGAATATGCATGATGTATGCACAATATAATAATTTGTATTAATATAACATTTGATGTTGACATGAGCATGTGAAACAAATTGATATTTGGAAAATATGTGAACTTATTTGGATATTTTTTTTCTTAAGTGATACAGAGTTTACTACACCCAAGCATAAAATGATACTTTAGTTATAAAGACTGACGAACAGTCACCATTTGTCACAATAAGTTTCCAAAATGTTGATTTGACGCTTGAGACCAATTACCGAATAAGAGAAAAGACCATCATCAACAAAAAGTCCAAGGAATATTTCTATTAGATCTGGATATAACTGTATGACATTTTTAGATTTTGAGTTAATTTCAGGAATAAGACAACCTGATTGTGCTTAATACACAAACACAAACTCCCAATGGGAATCAAACATACTGTTATTACCATTGGTACATACCGGTACACAAGCTTGGACTCATAAATGCCTTAATGATGTATCCAAGGGAAAAAACATGATTTACAATGTAGAAGCAATGTATGGTCTTAGATGTTTGGTATAGAACAGTTCAAGTTTTGGAATTAATGAGTACTGACAGAAATCTTTATCAACACTGACCTTTTCTACAAACATGTCACAGAATGTGTAAACAACAAAATAGCAAAATTGACGCTTTGCTAAGTACATCTGTCCCTGTACCTGGCAGTAGTAGTGACTACTGGGATTTAAACAGATCTGATTGTTTACATTGTAATGAAGATATGGAAAATGTTTACCAGGTTTAATGTGATCATTTCTTCCAGCATATGGACATTTCACCTCAACCAAGATATCAGCATCAATAATGGCATCTGGCGTAGCACCCAGATAGGGTTCAGAACAGGAAACAAATAGACCTGCCTTTTTTGTTTTGATATTGTACATGGATTCAAATTTTGAAAGTGCTCTTTTTTCATACTGCTTTCCATGAATTACAGGCTTACATGATAATTTTTTTGTGGACACAATTGATTTACATAACTTCTCCTTATTTCTTCGGTTGGTCATTTTGGTCACTTCACCAAACCTTGAGGCTGTGAGGCGCCACTTTCTTTCTGTGTGCCACACTGGGCTCCGGGACTGGTCTTGCGTTGCTGCCTCAATATCTTTCGCAGATTCCTCAGTTACCTGTAAAGAAAAACAAAAGTCAAGACATAAAAGAGATGTCCCAAACAATATTTTTTCACATAGTTTGTTTTACATGACAGTAATCTGAAAAATGCCTAATATACAAGTCTATATTTCTTTTACAAGGGAACTAATCTGCTTGATCATGATTAGGCATTTTCAAACTTAGTTAATTGCATTTTACAAATTACTCACAACCCCAAACATTCAGATGTTGCTGTTTCCTCACAAGCTATGATTTTAACTGTGTATTACAAAGATCAAATCTGAAAGACTTTAGGTTTTAAAGATTTTTTACATGTATTATACAACAGAATTTCCAGTGTTGTGTACCTTCAGTGCCATGTCAACCATGTACTCTGTAAATGGCTGTTTAAGGTAGTGATGGTCCTCAGCAGCTGTCTGGACATCAGCTTTTGGGTGAACATATCTAAGGGCGATATTATGAGATGACTTTGAGCAGTAGTTTGTCATCATGTTGCGCACATGATCATTGTAGCCACTCATGTGTCTGTATTTTTGTGGCCTTGGATCGTCCAGCATATGCTGTGACCATTTTCTTTTTGACGGCAGTTCTGCAGCTGTTACGGGTGATCCTGAATACAATATTTTGATACTACATTGCCATAATAATCCTGTTCAAAACAACACTTATACAAATATTTAATAACTTTTTCCACTCCAATATCCAACACATAATATTTAGTCATATACAGTTTCTCTTTTATATACAAAATCATAAACCATCATAACGTGTCTAAGGCATTTATAAGTGATGCACATAAGGAAGAGAATATATGGATGTCAACTTCTATATAATGAGGAAACACCCTTAACCTCATAATATAGAAGTTGACATCCATACATTCTCTTCCTCATCATAACATTGTAGTTGAGGCCTGGGTATGATATTTCCTTGGCTGTAATATGACCTACCTTTGTACGATTTTTTGGGCTTGTGGAACAACTGCAAGTTTTCGGTACAGCTCTTTCCAACTTGCACACTGCCAGTTGAGATGAAATGCTCCAACATCAACAGCACCGCAGCGATGTGCTTACAGGTTGAATGTGGTCCTTTCCCTGCAGGACACTCGCAGTGGGAGTTGACTGGCTCCCCGGTCTTCTCTACCTTCACCTTGTAATTGTATGTGACCTAGGATAGAGTGAGTGAGTATGTATGGTTATGCACCACTTTTAGCAATATTCCAGCTCTTTCACAGCTAGAGAAACCAGAAATGGGCTTCACACATTGAACCCTTTTAGGGAATTGAACCTGGCCTTCAGCAAGATGAGTAAACACTTGGACCACTAGGCTACCCACATTAACCCAAGCATAGAAGTCATGCATATAATGTGATGTATGTGCAATTTAATTTCCCATTAATAAATTCACTTTCAATCAGTTTTATGTCAAGAATGTATTTCGGATTAGCTTCATCTTTGAGTACAAATTTCATTATAATTTAAAAAGGTTTTATTTTTTATTTTTATTTTATGGTGTGTAAATATTTTACCTTGTTTTTCATAGATGCACTGACGATGCCACTTAAGTATACATCAGTAGATGCACGTATGTGAACACTGCATGCCAGCACCCTGTCCCCCTCAAACATCAGATAACCTTTCTCTATGGCCTTGATATCATGTGCAGCTTGGTTGTCTCCTGCCATACGGTAGATGAAGTAACCTTCAATGGTTTCTTTGGAAATGGGAGGCAGCAGTTGACGATGGGAAGGCATCAGCTGTTGAAATCCTGACACTGGCCATGATGTATCTTCTGGTCGTGGGATGGAGACAGATGGCCCAACAAAATCATCATTTCTGTCATAAGATTCAAGTCTGAAATGAAAATTAAATACATTTTAACTTGTGCAACTACTATTTCAGATTTGCATAATATTATAGGAAAATAATTCATATCATTATCACTATGACTAATATATCTCATAAATGACATGCATCATGAATAAGCAATGAAACCTGTATGATTAAACTGTGTTTGATAATCTCATGCCTATATAGCCAGAAGACAAATTATTACACATTTCCTGTTTTATAAAATACCTGGATAAATATATGGTAATTGTTAATGTGACATAGAGTCGCCAAGTTTCAATAATCATTTCATGGACAGAGAAATGTCAGTAAGCACTGCACTGTACACCTATCATAAGTCATTCAGAATTTTGGTGCCCATATCATGACGAAAAGGAAGAGTAAAATATAACACTATAATTTGAAAAACGTCTATATTTTGTGAATACAACAGGTTTCAAAGTTGTATGAACCTTCTGTGTTTTACTGCCGACTTACAAGCATTATGGGAAAATCCTCCGCCCGAAACCACCATCCTAAAGTAATATGTCTGTCCAATGCATTGACGCTCAGTACTTTTAATTATTTTTAAAAAAAATGTTGGCGGATAAGGGCGGAAGTCGCACCGAATTTTGTTGAGAACTACGTGTCAAAACACTGCTGATCATATTCATAAAAAGCCCCGCTAAACTACAAAAGCAATCGGGTGTTCGAAAACAGGTGACGTCTCATGAGTGCGGTGAATGTTAACAGACGACGCAATGGAGACTGCGCCTTTTATCGAGGATTTATATAATCTGAGACCGGGAGCCACAGTTAGTACTTTGGTTATGGGTGACTATACAGTAGGTCATGGTTTAATGGAAGGCAACAACTGAAATATATTGATAGTTGATTTTGTCAGTCACAGTAGGCCTGACAGTGACAGAGATGGCACTTATTTGACAGGCAAGAAAAGGGCCTAGTAGAAATTGCGGTGCATATCGCAGATTATGAATGTAAGCATACTTGATAACTAAAAAAATGGGTTACATACCTCTCGATCAGTTCAAGTTTCCTTCCAGCTGTCGAAGCTTTTCGTTGAAAGAGCGCACATTTGAGTTTTGGCACGGACCATAGCAGGTACTGGCTGGCCATGTTCACATAAACTTGGCTACGGCTCTACTTGAAATTCGCGCTAAATGATTCGCAGCGCATTCTAATGGCGGAACCGTCACAGAGTATGACCACTAGTACACGCACGCCCCTGGCGGATTAGTACGGCGGTACTCCCCATTCAGCATTCCGAGCGATGCGGCAGTACATTCATCACAGATCAGCTTACTATCTGAGGCACTACAAGATGTTTGATAGGGTGTTTGGTTGTGTAAAGAAGGGAATAAACATGTGGCTCTATAAAGTGATAAGACTGAAATGCCGATTGCCCGTGTGACATGCGCCAAATTGTTTTCGCATTTAACGTCCGTTCTAACTTAGTCATAAAATAATGAGAATCATGCACATTTTCTCTCATATATTCTACATTTCCTTGCAATTCCTCGAAAGCAATGCAAAAATACATTTGTTCTTGATAATATTTTCCGGATTCGAAGAACAAAGCTGCAGGCCTTGAGTGTAAAAATAATATGGCTGACACATTTGGCCGTTCTGTGATGCAGGACAACGTTTTAAAAATATGAGCGAAAAAACACATCCGACACTTGACTGAACAGATTTAGAATCATCTCATATAGTCTTCAGTCCCAGTTGTAAATAATTGTTATTAGTTCAGAGATGAAACTTACAAGCATATATTATGCAATATACTGATTAAAATAGAACAAGCTTTTCAGTTGAAACGAGGTATGAATGTTTACATCCAGACGTTTGTTATCCCCGGTGACAGGCTAAACAAACGTCTGGGTGTAAACATTGTGTGAAGCAAGCACCTGATTCCTTCAAAATGTATTCTGTTGTACATCAATCTTAAAATATTTACAATGTTTGTTTCATTTAATTTCCTAACAAAATTCTGAAGTACAAGCGGAAAACTTACCCACCGTTTACGTCCTAACACGAGTGACACGTCCCACTGCCAGTCAAGAAACGCAAGAAACGCCTTGACTGGCGAAGGGGCGAGCTATGACGTCAGTGTGACGTGTCTGGTTAGGAGCATGGCATAGTTTGGCGCTCAGCTGCTTGTGCCGATCACTCTAAGATAATACAGTGTGGAGTGATACTAGATCTACAAGTCTTACTACAGTCTCACCTTATTTCGTCTCAGATTGCATGTTGAGGTAAAAAATTAAGCCTACTTCATTGGTTAAAGAAATCTACCTCATCACCGTCCGTAAAATATGACTTTATTTTTATTCTAAGATGCTTCCCTAAAAGATCAAAGGCACCGACAATACTTTATCCTGCGACAAAGCATTGTTTCCGCGTATAGATCCGGAGTAGAATAAGGTCTCGAGCAACCCATGCTTGGCGTAAGAGGCGACTATGCTTGTCGTAAGAAGCGAGGTCGGATGGTCAGGCTCGGTTACTTGGTTGATGCATGTCATCGATCCCAATTGCGTGGATCGATGTTCATGATATTAATCACTGGATTGTCTGGTCCAGACTCGATTATTTACAGACTGCCGTTATTTAGCTGGAATATTGCTGAGTGCGGCGTTAAACAACAAACCAACAAAACCAACCATGCGACAACAGTCACAAAATTGTTCGATTCGGGCTTGGTGCCCTAAGAAATTAAGTAGGCTATGTCTTCAGCATGGATCGATGCTCATGACATCAATCACTGTAACGACTCGATCTATTGACTGTAACGACTCGATCTATTGACTGTAACGACTCGATCTATTGACTGTAACGACTCGATCTATTGACTGTAACGACTCGATCTATTAACTGTAACGACTCGATCTATTGACTGTAACGACTCGATCTATTGACTGTAACGACTCGATCTATTGACTGTAACGACTCGATCTATTGACTGTAACGACTCCATCTATTGACTGTAACGACTCGATCTATTGACTGTAACGACTCGATCTATTGACTGCAAGCCTGCACTTCTCACTTTACCATGGGAACATATTTTTAAACTGGTCGAGCCCGACTTGCCTGGCCCTTGCCCTGCATGAGACATCATTTTGGCTTGTTAAGAACCATCAGACCATGAACTCATGTTTGTGTTTTGATCGGAAAATTACCAAGAACTACTGACCAGTTCCTCAACCTTATCACAAGCAAACATAGCATCGAAGCTATCGCGACGGTAGCCACCATTTTGAATGTTGTATTTGTAAAACATGTCGGCCGCTGACATAGTGATGAAGTGTCGCCTTGTCGCTGTTGCATTTCGTATTGCTTATTTCAAAATCTTTACTGAACATGAAATTTGATTGTAGATGAATGCGCCCAGGTATTTAACTCAGTCACAACAACAACACATGTGCATACTTAAGTCCGTTAAGTAGGAACTAAATCTGTGGGTTAAAGAGTCGTTGGTTATCTGATATACTAGTAATTTATCGATAAAGGATCGTCAAAAAGAATATCCTGAATGACTATTATTTCGCGCCCCTTGTAACAGTATTTCGGTTATACCACGGTGTGTCAGCTTGATGTGGGAGGAAAATACGAAATATTGTATAGTGCTGGGATTCGAACCTACGATTATTGATTTCTTGCACGCCCAGGGGACGCAACTCTTCACTGCGAATTGTGCCGCCTAAAACGACTGGGTCAACCGTGTCTGTCTGTCTGTCTGTCCCTTTGTATAAATAAGATAACTATATTTACGTGACTAAATGTTACTCAACTGGACTCTCCTGAAAGTGTCAATCTTATTCTGCTTTGTATATGCGCGACGGAACGGTCGCTATACCTGCTACATACCAATTATCCGAATATTTATCTATATAAACAGGGCGTTAAAAAAATCCTTGACAATGCGGTTCTGACAATTCAATCAGGAAGACGAGTTTTTTCAAAATGGAACTCAGAAAGGTGACAATGTTTCATCATGTGTGGTTATTTCGGCGTCTGTCATATAACAACTATAACTCCTGTATCCATGATCAGAATCTATATTTCTACAGGGCGTTAGAAACCTATCGACAGTGCGGTCCTGCAAACATTATCTTCCGAGTTATCAGGCAAACAATTGGTTTGAAACGGGACTCAGAACGGTGGAAAGTTTGCTCTCCAAATCCTTATCCTAAATCTGAATTCACATTTATTTAAATAATTGGAATGACTATGTGAATGCGGTTAGGGGATTGTGGGTTGAAGAACTCGTGGGTACCAATGAAGTGTAAGACGATGGAGGCGATGATTCGGAGACATCGATGTTGAAAATGATGAGCCTGATGTAAAGTGGTCTGTCGGTTTACACGGGTGGCCCGGTCTTCTATAGGGCGCGATTGTGGGTTCGAATCCCGGTTCGTCCCGATTATGTTTCTAGGTTTGTCAGTACCATACCCGTGCTCGTGGGTTTCACCGAAGTGGTAAACGTCTGAGACCTGCATCACCTCGGGCTTAGCTCCCCATTAAGCTGACACGTCGTGATATAACTGGAATAATGTTTAAAGCGGCGTTTAAACCAACTCACCCAACACATGTGCGGCGGAAGGATTTTTGCTGATCAATTTCCGTCTATGACTTGTTACAGATTCTTGTTACTTCGCGTGTCCCGCTGTGATATTGCTGGAATAATGCTAAAAGCATACTCACTCACTCACTCACTCACTCACTCCGCGTGTCATACAAAGATACCTTTCACAGATATGTCGGGTACCTTTATCGCACTAAGGACGTATAAATAATCAATTGATAATATGTTTATTTATGCTTCAAAATAATTTTCTACTTTAATGTTTCGACAAGGGGGGTTCCACCGCCACTGAACCCTCTGTGCTATCTGTGTAAGAAAATACGGATCTGCAGACAGCGTTCGGCTTCGACCGAAAGAAAGAACTGCGCATGCGTAGAACGTGTTTCATTCGACAACTTCCCTACAAATATAAAAAACTACTGACATCTACCCCTATGTCTGTTTACCTGAGTTAAATTAATTATTCGTACTCGGGCGCTTTTAAAGCTGAATGTATTTGGTGATAAATGTCACCGTTTAGCAAAATGTCTATATTAATGGTAAACCAAATCAACGCCATATGAAAATGGCAGACAACATTCCATGCAACTAGGCCTAATGTATTTAGCACGAAAACAAAAGTATTGTGTCTATATCATAAGTCTCAACGGGTTAACTGCCATTTCAAGGATCCACCTCTATTTTACTTTGTGTTTTTCCACATTTACACGAACGAACGATCGAGCCGATCGAGGTAAGGCCAACTAGGCCAAGTGATGAAACTAGACTCGTGACTGCAAATATATAAATTGTCAATGCAAGAGTGAGTGAGTGAGTGAGTATGGTTTTACGCCGCTTTTAGCAATATTCCAGCAATATCACGGCGGGGGACACCACCGGCGGGGGGATCAAACCCAGGTCGTCGGCGTGACGAGCGAACGCTTTAACCACTAGGCTACCCGACCGCCCCCTCAATGCAAGAGAATAACAAATCTAGATTATCCGCCGAAACAGATTCCATTTTGGATAGAGGGCAAATAGCGGTAATGATTATGTGAATGACCACTGAAAATCAGTGATGACACCAGGTGTTCGCGAAAAGGATAAGCATGTCCTGACCTACGGGTAGCGCCCTCACTGTATGGTGGCATATGCTCTTACTGCAATAACATTTTCTCCCTTGAACAGTTTGTTTTTTCAACTGTATGTAATAGTTTTCTGAAAAATCTATGGGATGTGTGGGTCATTGAAATAATGCCTTATGGGTAATTAAGTAGAAAATACATCCATTTCTATTTCTTTAAACAATTGCCAATAACATGTCATATTTGGTCTTGTAGATTTTGTAAGTTTTCGACTTTTGTAAGCTGTTTAACCCCGAATGCATGACATTTGTAAGAAAGTTTACCGCAATAATGAGCGTGAGACAGTGAGATCATCGTCCTGTAGAAACATTTTGACATGCATGTATACACTTTCCCTTGGAAATAGCTTGAGTTAATAGTAATAGGACATGCCTTAATCCTTTAATAGGGCGCGCCTTCACGAAAAGGACAGATTGTGAATGAATGAAAAATGAAGCAAAACGATTCAGTTTGGTACGTCGTGTGCCATTGTTACAGGCGGACATACAGTATAGTTTATTAACGATATGTAAAGCACGTGCATGGCAGGTCAGTTATGCGACAGATGTAACACA